CTGTGCAGGATGTAACAGTGACACAACCCGCACTGCCTTTGCGTTGTAATGAAGCTGTGCGTAATGCTTTCCGGATGGGTTTGCGCCATTACGCACAAAGCGAATTCAATTCATATGGTGTCTTTATCTCTCAAAACGATGAGAATGTTTTGTTTGTTTTGTTTTTTCAGCTAATTTTATTCAAGACAAGTGGATCATAAGAGTATGTTTAAAAAGAAAATATATAAAACCACAACATAAATATAGGGACATGAGGATATAAAATGTGCAAATATAGAAGAAAAAGAAAGCAGGCAGACAAAGAAAAACAATAAATGGGGGGGGGGGTATAATATGGGCATGCACAATATGTGTGACTGTGGGTCTGTTTGTTGAGAGGTGGCGTGGAGAGGAATCAGCTCTGGATGAACTGCAGGGAAGGAGATCAGGTCAGATGGTCTTTTAGGGTTGATGTGAGCTTTTCTAGGTTTTGAATGCTCTTATGGATGGTTTAGTTTCTTTAGTGTAACCTATAGACGTTTGAATCTCTCCATTGAAGGCTTTTGAGTTCAAAAACAGGAGATAAGTATAAGAGCATAAGAAAGAAAAATTCAGTACTTTTTTGAAACATATTAGCATGACCTGAACCTAATGTGTATTTATTTAATTCATCTGTTTAAACCGATCTATATATCTCTCATTTGCTATAATGTGATCTAAAAAAAACAACTTTATCTCTGAGTCTGCTTTTAATTGTCTAAAATTATGAAATTGTATGAAATGTATGCAATATAAAAGTGTTTGTTCCATTTACAGCCAGATGAACTGTCAATGAGGTGAATTCCCATCATATGAACCTTAACGATCCAATGACACAATTAAGTTGAATACATTGTCATCCCCCTACATATCCCAAACCAAAACCGGTCATTTGATTTCACTTTTACAACAATTTTTATAGAAGTTTCTTCTAATGCACTGATTTTGGATTTTCCACGAGCTAAATGTTTAATTTGATTTGAAACAACTTAAACCTTTGTTACTAACCACGATTTGTCTTTTTTCTTTTCTTTCAGAATGAAACTCCCACTGTGGTGTTGCCATGTGTGATTAAAAGCTTCATGAAACAGTTTCAATGCGGGAGGTTTTACACTGACTATAGAGAGAGTCTTCCCCCTTTTGTCAGGTCAGCTTCAACCATAACCGTTTAAGAGCAGAGGAGTTCACTGTAACACTACATGGGCCTCTAAGGTAACCTGATCTGATAATTAAGCCTCTTGAACTTCCACCATCAGCTAGAAAGCTACAATTTCAACCAAGACATGGACCCATCTACTCGAGTGGTGGGTCTGGATGCCCAGGGGAACATGGTTTTCACAGTGGTAAAACCAGTTATGGGCATCTTTCAGGTGTCTTCAGAGCAAACAGGTAGTGTTGCACAAGGGGGCATGGGGCTGCAGGGTTTGTCTGAAAACACTCTGATCCTCCCTCAAGCACAAGGCCAGGCTCCGCTAGACCAGAACCAGGTGGACATGCACACCATGCAGCCTCATATTCAGCCCCAGATGCAGGTTTCTGCCCCAGCACAGACTGAGGATGTGTCCCAGAATCAGGACCCGCCACCAAATCCAAGCACGAATTCCCAGACCCATATGCCTTTTGCGGAGGTGTCGTCACTCCTGGATCCCAACATGAAAGGCTCTAAGGCTCGTAAGTTGTTTTGAGTGGTTCATATCAGAGCTTTGGAGTTGGGTTTTTATCACTGGTTCCGTTAAGGTTCTGGTTCCAGGTTGGTTTAATTACCAGGCTGATTTACCTCCTCCTGTCTTGCTCTTATTTTAGGGAAGTATCTCATCTCGTATGATGAAATTAAACGCCGCCTGCAGGCCCCGGAGAAGATGTCCCTGCGCTCGTTGGCAGCCTACACTCGGGTCAGCAGAGGCCCGGCCAGCAAGAAAACCCTTCTGGAGTCACTCAATGTCCTCGGCCTCACTCCAAGCACAACTACCTCCGTATCCTCCTCGTTCTCCAAACTCACTGAAGGTGACAGAGATGTGTGTTAATGTGGAGGAATATTTAAAGTTCCCCCTCCAGTCAATTTTTTGGGGGTTTTTTTGTTCCTACAGTTGGATGTTTGAGCCCCAGAATGATGTATGTGCAGAGTTTGACACTAGAAGGATGTTTTCACGTTCATATGCTAAAGGGGAAAGTTTCTCTGAGCTCATTGGAAATCAGATTTGTAAGGGGCGGAGCTACGAGCATGATTTATGACATCACAAATAGCTTAGAAGTCAAGGTGTAGAGGACTTTTTAAGGACTTAAATGTAAATCGGACACACGTTATTGTCGAAAATAAATGTTTACATGTCTTAATACGTGTTTGAGGGAATCTTTAAATTCTATAACATGGAGGAGAGTAAACTGTGTTTTAATTTGTGTGTGTGTGCCTAGGTGACACTGGAGCTTTGTGTGACGATATGAAGGACTTTGCCCATGACTACATCGACTACGGCAACATGGCTAAACAGCTCATCCCCGAGACAAATACAGTTCAACACTGGTCCAAAATTATTGAAACTAAGTACGCACTGTGTGTCCTTGTAACACGGCCTTCAAGCTTGGATAAACAGAACACTAACGCTCTTTCTGTTTCTCTCAGGAACCACCTTGAGGATATGAGAAAATGTTTCAAGGACCCGGTCAACAGCGGTGCGTTTGATAATGTCACTCATGGCCTGGGTCTGGGAATGTTGGACGTTGCACTGGACATGGTCATTATGGTAATTGAACAGCAGATCCGGATCCTGTCTGGCGCAGCAGCGTCAGACCCAGCTGACTCTGGTCCGCCAATGCGGCGTATCCGCAGGCGCCACCGCAAAACCCGCCCCACTGACAGCGAAAAGTCTCACAAGGTGTCTGGCGGGGTCAGTGAGCAAGGGAAGGTCATTTCAAAAGGCAAGGGGCGGGGAAGAGCCAAGAAGAAGATAAGGCAGGAAACTGGAGTTCCTGGTCCTGTGGAAACTCCTGTAGAACAAGGCAAACCAGATGATGTGGAGAGTAATGTCCTCACTCTGGTTTCTGTAGGATATGAGACTGTTTCCAGTGGTCTGAATGCGTCCGGAACTGTTTGACACCGGCTCACATGACCGGCCTAAAGAACAAATCATGGTCCCATTCAAGAGAATACTCAGCAGTAGGACTCAGACTTTGCACAAGTTGAGCTGGGTTGAGCTCCTGTGAAGGAGATCACAGTTGTGGTGAGCCCAGCATCAACGTATAACGTCACAGCTTGAAGTCCAAGTTAAAGGAATAGTTCGACATTTTGGGAAATACATTTATTCTCACATCTGTACAGTAAATACAGAGCTGGAGCCAGCAGCTGGTTAGCAGGTCTTAGCATAAAAACTGGACAGAGCCAGGCTTGCTAAGCTAAGCTAACCAACTGCTGCTACATATGGGAGGGATATCCATCTTTTCGTCTTAGCCTCGGCAAGAAAGCAATGAAGTGTATTTCTTAAAATATCAACGTATTCTTTTGAGAGAATCCTGTTTCTTTAGTAGCAGATTTTGTATGTATGTAGTCAAACTGAGTCCATTCTATATATTATTTTTTTTATGCTATGTTTTCAGTGAACAGAACAAAATCTTCACCGATGTATGTAAAGATGTAAACACGGAGAAAACCTGTCCATGCACAGGGACAGACAATAATAGACAGATAATAACTGATTATATTTTTTGCTGGCAGTACTACGTCTCCTGTCTCCCTGTTGTATTTATTGTTTAGATTTCCATCTCTATCGTTCTGTACTAGATTGTTGAAAAGTCTGTTTTTACTGGAACCTCAAGAGTTGAGTAAAATATAAAGATTTAATTTTCCTAACTGCTTTGATTCTGTTATTGTCCTGTGATAGATGTGATACATGGAGCAAGATGTGCCTAAATGTGTTGAAAAAAAGAGAGAATTGCTTCATATGTTTAATCTGGGAGTTTAACATTGAAGCATTTGGTTAATTACAGAGCTCTGGAGAGAAGAAAGGCACAGAAATGTATTCTTTAAGATGTTTTAGAAAAGGAAGTGACAGGTAGATCATTTTCAGTCATTTCACATATTCAGAATCAGTAATAAATCAGAATCAGAAATACTTTAATAATCCCAGGGATAAATTACTGAGTGATGATGTTGAGATTCTATCCATAACATGTCTTCTTTCTTATTTTGTACTACACTTTGTCTATTTAAATCTGTAGATTTCTCCCAAATTCACAAAAAGTTAGCATTAGATAAAGCCTCATTTGCACATTTAAACATAACATTTCAGAAAACTTGTAATACAGACAATAAATGTCTTAGTGTAAGTAATGAACTGGGGAAGTTTCATGGTGATATCTATTAGTTAAAAATGTTACACTATTCACCTGTAGAGTCTTGCGATAAAATGGTTAAGTTATTTATATATATATACTACATAGATCGAGATCTCATTTACAGGTGACACCTGTGTAAAAATATAATATAATAATAATATTTTTTTCAACCTGATATCTCCATATCAGGTTGAAGACTGGGGAAAAGGCCATCTAATAGTCATTTTGTGTACAAAAACAGATGCCCACCTGTCTGTGTTATTGTTTGGCTTGGATTTTCTAGAAGCTGAAAGGCATTGTGGGAGATTTTACTCCGGTAAGAATACACTCAGCAGTGTCAGCCAAGTGCTAATACCTTCACTGCACACACAAGAGGGGGTAGAGAACAGCTTTAGTGGGGATTTGCTCTGTATTAACCCTGAGAGGTGACAGAGAGCCAGCTGGAGTACAAGGAAGACAGACCAGATAGACGTGTGCAAAACATAGACAACAATTTGTCTTCAAAACAATAGTGCAGGATGGGTAGGGAGTGCAGCACTGGAATTAAAGTGAGATGGAGGTTGAGGTAACGAAAGGAGAATAACAATAAGAAAAGTGCAGCAAGATGTCAACCTGAGAAAGTTTCACCACCAGCTGTCCAGAGACGGTAGGACGGCGGAGAATGGGACACCCTAATGTGCCACTCATGTACACTTACACACGTCCACACAGGGATAAAAGCAGATCCAGTCGACTGCAACCCTACACACCAAACGGTGAGTGGAACAGAACCATGGCTGATGATTTACAGTCTCTGGGATCTTGATATTGGCTTTGACATTAATGTGGTTGTAATTCCTTTATTCATAGTAGCTGCACACTTTGTTTAGGTCAGGCTTCACACGTGGGACCTGCTTGTGCAACCAGACTTCAATACTGTTGGCCACTGAGCAGCTTAGTTAGACAATCAAAGGGTTAACTCAGTATTAGTTGTTGAAGGGGAGAAAATGGTATTAACTCACACACATTTTCACAGCCAGAGGCAAGATTAAAACTTGTAATCTGTTAATCATTAGTCCATAAAGGACCATGCATCTGTTATACGTTCATTAACTTTAAATATTTAGCTGAACACGGATGCATCCTTGATTGTCTTTGATTTGTCAGTGTGTTTTTCCAACCGCTCCAGGCAGCCTTTGTTTACTGTTCATTTCTGAAAATCAATTAGCAGCCTCTTGAGACTTGTTTGAGTTGTGTAGTCCATCACAGCAAACATCAATGTTGCATTCATTTTTTATTTTAATTGTGTGGTTATGCAGTTTTAAGTACAGGTTGATTGCACTGTTTAACTTTCACTTAAATGGTTTTATTCTTGAAAGTTTCAAGAGGCGATGACTGATTTTCACATCATATGGAAATTACTGGAAACCAGTAGCTGCAGGGAATAGTAGGAAAAACACACTGAAAAGCGTCAAACACAGCAGCTCAGTTGTGATGAAGTATTCATGATTTGTAGTAAAGGCGGCTAAAACATTCAAAACCACTGCTATGGCCTTGTAATATGCTTGCGGCTTCAGTTAATGGTCTGCTGTTTAAGTGAGGAAAAGACAGTGATCACAACTGCTAATCACTATGTGTCATTGTAAGTTCATTAAAGGCCCACTCAAAAGAATCGGGTTGGCGACTGGAGTGTTCTATATTAGAGCAGATCAGCCGAAATAAAGTGACGAGGAAGGTGTTATTTAATGACAAAGTGTCCTTGACCAAAGCACTTGCCATGAAGCCGAACGGGACAACAGAGCAAAACTGTTGTGGGCAGCCATCTATGCACTGTAAATTAATTTAATGAAATGAGTGGCAGAGTCAAATAAAGCTAGTTAGTGAACCAGATACCCCCTTGGTATGGTTCTATCCTGGGTGCAAGTTTATGGATGGCAGAATTGGGCAAGTTGTTTCAACAAGTATTTGATGAAGTGCCATTTAATCTGGTAAAGAAACTCATGTTTCCCTTAAGATTAACTATAATGACTTTTCATCTAGAGCCTTTCATCACCAGGTATAAAACTTTATTTGTCAGTATGGTTTGTTATACCTGCAAAACTACTGACATTATCACCAACCTGTGCTGTACTTTATTTGGAGCTTTTTTCAGAGCAGCCATTTTGACATGAAATAGAGTAAACACAGGTGTTACCAATGATATGGCTCTGCTACACTAAATGGAACAGAACCTTAATTAGTATCATAGGGAACAGCTGTGTTTACTCAACTATTTAATGTCAAAATGGCTGCTGTGAACAAGGTCTAATGTGAGCGTTCTGACACACTAAACTACGATGGTGAGTTATAAACATCATACTAAACATCAACAACTTATTGTGAGCATCAGGCACTCAAGAAATGTCTGGACATTTGGTCTAAAACCAGAAAGAGCAGAGTTTGACATCTGGGTGTTCTGCAAGTAGGATGTGTAGGAATAAAGTGTATTTTTCTACTTTTCTTTACATTATTTACAGGATATTTTGCTCATGTTCCCACGGAGGCTCTCAGTACTGCGTTTATAGTCCCAGTAATTTTTCATTTGCATGTTTTTCATGACATTTGTTTTATGGGCAGCTCTTCCTCTCTCTTACCCAACTGTGATGACATTCATATTTCCAATACAGCCTCCACACCTGCTGGCCTTTCTTTTTGTGTGTCCCATTTTATGACTCTTAATGTGTCTCCATTTCCCCACAGACAACCTGAACAATGCACTAGGAGCTATTAGAGTCCTGGGCTTGGAACTGATTGAGGATGAACTTAAACCACATCTGAATACAGTGCTGATCAACATAAAGGAGAGGAGTGAGTTCATTTGCACTCTTTCACACTGCGACATCGCCTTTCTAATTGGAATATATCTCAGGCTATGCTATCCCTCAAGCCTCAGCTATAACATTATCTGTTAGACAGCATTAAATATATTGCAGTGTGTCATAGGTTTCATGGTATAATGAGGTGTTTCGGGGTTATGTTTTTTGTGTCAGTATGTCTTTCATTTGATGTGATTTGAATTGCAAAATACAGTCCTGCTGCCACATGCAATTTACATATTTATGTGTTTTCATACAAGCATACCTCGAGACATCATGCCTCCCACTCTTGTGGCAGCTATATGTATCATAAAAGCTCCCCATTTTGAACGATAAAACCTGTAGCAAAAGGCAACCAGCGAGGAATGGGGAGCTTGAGGTTGAGAGGCTGTTAAGGGATCAAGTGCATGACAGTTGTAAGTCCTCCGTAGACATTAAGCTGTATTTGTGTCTCCTAGCAAGAGAGTAACAGGGGGCTACACAGGAAGAAGAGGTAAAGAGGGGTCAGAGAGATCTTTAGAGCTTAAAAAGACTAAAATGTTTTATTCTATTCTGCTCGCTGATTAAAGGACAAGTCATAAAAAAAAATACACCTTGATATACTTCATGCAGTATCATTTTTCAAGCCTAAGGTTATTTGGCTTTGGTCATAAATATGTTTATTGTGTATTTTTTTTGTGTTTTGTTCACATGTGTAATTCCACTTGTGTCCAGACAAGGGCGCTGCTGAGCAGGTAGTGGTCAGTGGGATCCTACCAATTCTAGCCCTGTCTCTGAGGCACAGAGGGCCTCTCACACTGCTGACTGCAAAACTAGTGGCTGAACTCGCCAAAGAATGTAAGTTATTTATGTATCTTATTTATAAATGGAGTTTATGAGATCCATCATGTGTTCGTTGATTGCTGGAGCCTCAAGCCTTTCATTCTCTGTTGTCCGCCCCTAAAACCTGCTTAATTGTCTTTATTCTTTATATTTTTGTCAGTGTAGCTTTACCTTCATTCATTGGGTTTTTTTGCTTCGTGTCAGCTGTGGTTCGTAAAGGTTTTGGTGATGCGGGCTTGGTCCCGGCTGTGCTCTCTGTGCTGACCAGTAGGGATGAAGAACTGCTCCTTCACGCTGCAAGGACAGTCTCACGCATGTCTTATGACAGCCGTAAGTAAAGTTAATCAGTAAAAATACTTCAATTTGAGTTCTGGAAATGGGCTCCCTGTTTTCTCAGTGCTTCATTTTGTCGTTTGTGTTCTTCAAATCACGCGTTTAATGCATATGCGTCATCCATACACGATTTGAAGCCTCCCACTTTGCATTTTACATTGTTCGTCTTTGGCAAAAAAAAGAGAACAGAAGGTAAAAACTCTTGTTTTAACCTTTTGGTAAGACACATACAACAACAGACCAGACAGATAAAACAAGTCAAACAAGTTTGATTTAGGGAAAGACACTGTTATGAGGCTATCTGGCTGATGGTCTTGTGAGGTTTACACCTATTGTACCAATGCATTTGGCCAAATAGATGTTTCAAAATGCAACACACTCTAAAGAACTATTGTCGTTGTCCCTCTGTCACCCTCAGCTAAGCTGCAGGAACAGTTACTACGTCGAGGTGCTGTTCCTCGTCTTGTTGCCATCCTGCTCCGTTTTCCTGATAAGGAGGCCCTGGAGGAGGTGTGCCTTCAGGCCCTCTGCAACCTCTGTGGCATGGGAGTGGTAGAGGAGGCCGGCATGGTCTGGGAGAGGGGTGCGTCTGTGAGGCCAGGGGAGTCTGTTTTCCATGGCGTCTCTCCTCACACCTGTGGTTTCGCCTCCTCTGTGACTCTGGTGTGTGTGTCTCAGTGGGCGCCAGGTCAATACGGCGTCAACATTGAGGTTTTCCAGCGCTGCTCCTCCTCTTTCTGGAGCCTTCACGGGAACAAGCGGACTGCTCATTGGTTCCCGTTCTCCAGCTTGGGAAGCTATTCAAATCTCTTCAAGTTGATCAGGTTCTCTACGAGGAATGTTCCCCGAACCAAAAGTCTGAAGACTCGCGTGTTTCACACTTTCCTCTGACAGCTTACAGACTGCAAACATGGTGGCCTTACACCACCGATTATTGGTACGCACCAAAACATCAAGGGAATGTTTACACACCATACCCTGGACATTCATACTTGGACATATTCAGACTGCAAATGCTTCCAAATGGCTCCTATCTATTCCTGCTGATGTTTATCTTATATTTGTTTTCTTTTTGTTGCTATTCCTTGGCTCAGTTTGCAAGTGAGACAATTACTGTTTGTTTTCTGTGCAATAATTGAATTAGGGATAATGGAAATGCTATAAATCAATTTAAAGTATAACATGAAAAGCTTAAAAATTAATACATTATTATATCCTTGCTGTTGATTTGTTCACAAGTGCTTGAAAAAAAAAGAGATTTCTTTCCTTGGCAGCAATATTTATAATTTTCTTTTCTACAGTGCAAGTGTATCAGTTTTGATTATGGCTCATTCAGTGTTACCCGACAAGTATGATTCTATGGATATCTTTAATGCCCACTTTAAATAATAAAATACTTTAACTTTATAATGTGTGAATGTGTCTGATACCAGAGTATATTTTTTAAAAGTTTCTGTTATTTTTGACAGTCTTTACATACAGGTAATGCGATTCAAAAGTACTGACAGAACACACACAAGCAACAAACACATAAGACACAACTGGAGAACTCAGAATACACATTATAGTTTAAAAAAATAAAATAAAACCACTACCGCTACAACTCCCAACTGCACAGTATGAATGCTAGTTGACTTTTTTGTATGTAGTATTTCCTTTATATTGTCAAACCTGCTTTGCTGTTTTTCGTTTTTCCCCCTGTTCACTCATCATAATTCTTGGAGCACTGCATCAACATGAGCCCCAATATGGCGAGCTAAGATGCCATATGTTGCCTCCTGGAAACTCCAGATGTGCGAGAACCTTGGCTGCTGGGCTAAATCATCTGATTCAAAAGGGTTTTAGTCTTCAGGGAAAATGAGTATGGAGTATGAGAACAAAACCTTGACAGCTAGGACACTAATTACCTGAGTCTCACATTTAATTTACAAAATGTGAAAGTCGCACAGTCTGAAGGTGAAGGTGAAGGCAGATATCTCTTCAGTTGTCCATTCTCTTACACACAGTGTCAAACTTGTGTGGAACAGCCAGCTTTGCTGAACAAGCTTGATTACAAGAGTTTAACACTAGATGGCATGCATGTGCTTCGTAGAAACCTCTGTAGTCTTTGTGCAGCCCAATATTGAAGAAACAGAATGCCAGTTGGTGACTTTGTACATGTGCCTACGCACATGGACTGAATCTAATAATGACAAGCTGTCTGACTGCATATCTCAGTGGATATTTTCAGATATTTACATAGATTTAATTGGTTTGCTTTCCCCCGCTGATATGAAAGCAGTTTGTGAATGTGCCTATAGTTAAATTGAGCACTTGCCCTTTGACTGTATGTCTGTTAAATACAAATGCTAACACAAAGATAGACACAAGTGTATCCCCTCTCAATCTTTCTCCCATTTCTCTTCCTCTAATTACCTCTCTTATTGGTTCCATTCAGCTCCAGTCGTCCAAACTCAGGGGCACGTCCTCTAATCAATCCTAACTTTATTACTTTGGGAGCCACTTAAATATTTGATGTGATAGAGATGAAGCTTTGGAATTATTTACAGGTAGACAATAGGTGCATACACCTATTCTTGACTAACTTGATTGTCCTCTGGTGGAAAACTGGTTCACTGTGCAATCGTCAAAGTAAAAAAAAAAACAATTTACATAAGAAAACAGACTTATAGGCAGTTTAACAACCATCAATATTCTCATTACGTGAGATAATTGGTGCATTAGTGTCTGTGTGAATCAGACCAAATTTCTTTTTACATGGCAGCAAGCATTTGTCTGGCATGCCAATAAACTCCTAGAATGAAAAGACATTTGGTCTGGTGAGGTTTATGCCTGTGAGTCAGGGCCTAGAAACAGTAACCAGAGGTGAGAAGCTCAAACTTGTTAAAACAGAGCTAAAAGGTCGGGTCAGAGAGGATTTTTTCTGCTGTCAGCAGCAGCGCCTTCACTACTCACCCAGCGAGTCCTGTCAACATGCTGTTTTCACAGGGCCAGTAACAATGTGCACATGATTGGATTATATAAAGAAGCGTTACAGTGAATAAAAAAGATGTAAATGTTTATTTTAGTTTTCTTCTGTATAAACAATACTGCACATAACATAATTGCTATAACACAGATTTGACCGTGTTTATATGGGTTCAGTTTGTGCCTCTCAGACATTTGAGTCACAGCATCTGATTTTCCAAAAAGTACCCATCAATCTTTGAAAAAATCTATGTTGTTTAACAACACTTGCCGCTGTTCCGAAGGTATTTTCAGAATCCTCAAAGACTCTTTTAACCAGCTGGCTGAAAAAATATTCCATCTGTTACGTAATAAAAAAAGATATCGAACCTGTTTTCCAAGTTGTGCTTCTTTCTCCTCATGCAAACAAAGATGGTAGCCAGAAGTGACTCTAACTCAGATAAATAAACAATCTGAACTGAAATAACAGATTTTATACATTGATGTCACTTTATAATATTTATTAAATATTCATTATTTTCTTTTTTTCTTTACAAAAGAGCAAGGGCAAATCCCTGGATTAGGAAATACAGTCACAACTAGAGAAATGGGTTAAAATCTGTTTTATCTTGCTAAAGACAGAATATTACATATATCATCAGAGTAGGAGCTCACTGGCTGAATTTGGTAGCAGCTATTGTAGGTTAAAAGAGGCAGAGGGCATGTGATTGGCTGACAGGTGAGGGGTCTATTATTTATTTCAGTTTATTATATATTTTACAAAGGTATATATTCCATAATGTCTCTTATTTGTTCAATAATGCGGTTCCTAAAGACTTACAGCCACACTGGAATATCAATAAAATATACTTTTTTTGGAGTTGTTGCCTGAGTCTTTGCTTTGCTTTGTGTGATGCGGCAGGCACATGAAGTATTTAATCAATGGGTCTACTTCCTCTCTGTAATGGGAGATGCAGGAAGCCTGCATATATTACTTTTAATATAAGACTTATTAATAATGCATGATGAACTTTGCATTATATGCCCTCAAACCCAGATAACATGGCAGAAGACTGTTTTATTGCTTGTCTTTGCAAATGAGTCATTTAAACTTTAATCCTCTTGTTGTTTTCTGCAGAAACAACTCCATGTAATTGCATTAGGATTTCATGGCACAGAGATTCCAATTACTGCTTTCGTCATTTCTCTATTGTGGCCTTTGTTATTCTAAGCCTGTAGGATCCTTCAGCGACAGACAACAATGATCCACCTTGTTGACTCACAACACGCACGCATTCTCATTTGATGTGGACACACAAACAAAGCACAGAATATGACAGCAAACACAGAGACACAGATAATGCCAGACTAACACAACATCTACACACAGTAAACACACACACACACGCACACAAACAAACAGAAGATGCAGGAGGGGTTTCATTTCAGAAAGTGAATGCAATCACTTTGATAGATCTTTCCGCAGGGGTTTGCTTCTTGTCTTTAAATACTGATTGTCAGGCAGATAAGATGATGGACCCGTGATTCTCTGCCTCTCTGACAACCCGCTGCCTTTGCAGCCGACCAAATTCTCACTTATGGACCTCTGTGACAGGTCGATGGCAACTCTCATCAGCAGAGATTCAGGATTAGCATTAACCAATCGATGCATCTGTCAAGTGCAAGTGGGTTTTTGGACAGATTCACTCGACTGGATTGTGTGCCCTTCGTAGTTGGGAAGGTGGTGGCCTTGACCTTAGAGACCTCGTGAGAAGAGTTTAAACCAAAGCCAGGGGAACATCAACAGTCTGTCTCATGGGTCCATTAAGTGAGGCACTTCAATAAAAATACACGGTCTTTCATGTCATCTACAACCATTTCCACAAAACTGACACAAGTACACAAACACTGCTCATTTCATTCTGTTTGGTTGCGCTGGCAGAATCTTAAACAACAGTGACAAGTGCTTTATTTGATCAAAGACCAAACATCTTTGGAATAAAATAAAGCAAAACATAATTTATCAAAGACCCCAAAAGTGAGCAAATACATATTTTCACACACGTTGGCCCAATAATATCATCCTAAAAAAAGACATATGTTAGTCTGATCGTCTATCTTTTCATCCTATATGACAGATATAATATATGACAGGATGATAAGGAAATTGTTTCCTTTATTCAGCTAAAGATTCACACTTTACCTTAACCTTCCTAAGCATAAGAGACTGATTTCTGACTGACAAGACTTTTGGACATTTGACAGAGAATCGGCATGAGTAATATCTGGGATCCTGTCACCATCAGCTGTGACTTCTGTGTAGGTGGAGAAAGAATTGCAATATTCATGCACGTCAAACGACGAATGTGTTTCAGCTGCATTGCATTCTTGTCTAATTAGATAAAGCTATGGCGAGCGTTCAGTAAGGCTGATCTTTTATCTCATGTTCTGCCTTTATTACTCTATGGGTGAATTTCTTCTTTCTAACCTTCAGCGTCACCTCTGCTTTCTCACCCTACGTTCACACAGTCCCTACATTCACACTACATTCACAGACATCGCCATTTCTGACCAATGATATTTCTGCCTGTGTTACTCGAGCAATCGTTGCAATTCTGTCAATCTGGTTGTCAGACCCACTGTTGTGCAACCCAACAACTCCCCACTACGACCAGGATTTCCTGGATGTCCAAGGAGATTCAACTGAATGTGTCCATAAACCACTAGCATCTAAACTATCTTCATATGGGCCCCCACTTAATGAAGATGCATTACACTGATGGAGTGTAATTGCCAAAGTCTGTTGCTAACCTCAGTATATTGTTACACTCTCCAAACCGATCCCTCATTATTCAACTCTCATTGCAGAATCTGGTTTTTGTGACTCTGCAGTTGATTATTGTAGCCATTTGTAGAAGTGTTGATCCTATTAATTTGTAAACTTACTAAATTTCCTGAGTAACACAACATCGACCCTTAGTGATTCTTCAAGCTCTTCTAGTCAAGTCACTTTGGAGTATGTGATGGCCATGCTAACAACACTGGAGTTAGATGAAGAACTTCAACATCATGTTGTTATTGTTCAGTTGGCTGCTGCCCAAATAAACCTGTGATGACTTTCATTCACCTGCTGTACATTAACCTCAAAGAACATTGACAAATGACAAATAAAGTTAAGCCATCCATGTCCATCCAGTGAGAGCTCACTCTGAGAATGAGTCTGACTTAAAATTGTATTGTACAAAATTTTTCAGTTGGCAGTTTGGATTTTTTATTTTAATTTTGTTTCCATGAGCTCCCTGCCGATTGCTATTGGATTCTGAGGGACTGACACCAATTTTACCTGTATTTGAAATAGCATCTGAATGTGATTTCACATTGTTTACTTACTATAACACAGTGGAAATGTCATAAACGATGTTATAGCTGTTTGTTTTCAGTTTCATGATATTTTTCGGTGG